TGAGCGTGTAATGTTAATTTTACCTGTGATCCTTTAAATAAATCAGCACTGTTTTGAAGTTACTTGGACTGTCTCGTCTCTAGAGTTAGCAATGGTAACAAGAGCCATATCCTACACTACCAAGTAATTTTTAAAACCTCTGTTAAACAAACCAGCTGCATGTCTAAGCTTGAATATTGCACAAAGCACTTGATTGTCTTTTTGCAATTAAATTTAGTTTCTTTTCTTTTCCAGGATGGACTGTAAAACACCCCCTGGCCTCAGATAAATCTCACAGTCCAAAAATGGCTAGCTGATTGCAGTCTAAGGGATGCTGCCCCTGTCAGATACATATGTGACATAAAATTGTGGAGGACAAATGGTGCTGGTGTTAGCAGAAATGTTAGAAAGCTAGAGAAACTAGTTTAGTTATTAGTTGGTGAGGACGTTTAATCAGGAGAGCAACGTTTTGCCACAGATTTGACTTGTAGAATTGTAAACTAATTTGTCATTGGCCTTGGTTCCAAGAAACCATTTTGACAGATAATACAGCAGATTAAAAAATTTGGCTGATGGAGTGCAATGAGAGAGTGTTCTGTGGGGTAGGGGAGCTGGAGCTAGACCCCAACATTGTGAGTGAAGAGGCGGGAAAACTGTACTCAGAACTACAGGTACAGCAGTTCCTTAAATTATTCTCATTTCCATATGTTCACTGTTGTAATCACTGTTTAGATGTAGCTGTGTGTACCAGGTTTCTCACTCTGCTACCTCACCATATCACAGACAGTTATGGAGACCCATGGTGAAGGTGTGGTGGAGTCTCTGGTACCCATATTAGTATGGGTCCTTGAGGGACTCGCTAGCTGCAAAGTCCAGCTGAGAGACAGGGAGGAGGAGGTGGAGAGGGAGAGAGCTGAGCGAGAAGAGCTTCTAGAGAGATATCTAGCAGAGAAAACACTGAGGAAAGAGAGTCAAGAGGTGAGGACAGATGTGTTCTTTGATATAACATCATTTTTAATGGTGTGTTTTTTATTTTGTTTTATTTTTATGCTGTAAAATGTGTTGACAGTTCTCAGAGTTTTTAAATAATTTTGTTTTTAGAAGTATCTGGAGCTGGATGACCAAATCGAACAAGAGAGGAGAGTCATAAAGGGAAGGGAAAGGGAGAGAGAACGAAGAGAGAGAGAGCTGGAGAAGAAAGCAAGAGCGCAAGCTGATCAATGTGTGTTTGAATATTAACTGTGTCAAATGCATATTATCCTCTTTCATCTTTGTCTTTTTCTTCTTACTGTTTCATTCATTGTTCTTGTGCATATCATCACTACAACAATTAGAATTATATTTATGTTTTCTTGCAGTGGTGGCCTTGGAGGACCAGAAGACAAATCTGAACAGAGAACTGAGCACACTGAGGCATGTTCACAACAAGGTCAGGCACTGCTGATGAGTCTATGAACTTGTGTGCTCTTGAATCACCATGCAGGGGATTCTGTTTTTTGATCATTATTTTGTTTCTTACATACGTTACATATTCTCTCCTCCAGTTGTCTCACACATATTGGGAACTTTTGGAAAAGAGAAAGGATTCTGAAAGGGATTCCCCTTTAAGGTTGTTCATACTCTTCACTTATTAAAATCTAAAACAGGTTTCTCATATAGTGTTTTACACAGTTAAGCTATATGTATTCTCAACAGAAGCTCTATTCTGTGCCATGCCATATTAAATGGCGATTGTTGGTGTCTTTTCTTATAATTCAGAAATGGTAAGAGTGCTATGGGAAAGTGGTGCAGAATTTAAGAAAAACCTATTGCCTTTTCTTTGCTAAGTAACGCATGTCGTATGTAGGAATCACATGCTTCCTAAGAATGCAGACTTTCCATCCAATCAAGTATTGTCAGAATCCAGTGTTAATGAAAAGGTAAACAGACTCTCACTTATCTTTTTATTTGGAACAGTTTTGCCAGAGATGTAGCTGTTGACTGCTTTTCTTTTTTTGAACAGATGATTCAAAGACCACATTCAATCTCTGGTACCCCCTGTTTGGAAGATCTTGTAGCCAAGGACAAAAAGCTGATGGACACTGCAGCAGATTCTGCTGAAGTTCAGTTTGTCAACTATATCATAAATTCCACTCCTGAACTGACACATTTTCATAGCTGTGTGGATGCAAGGTAATAGTCTGAGCCCATAAATTAATTTGTGTCAGTTGGCGGTCTGAGTGGAAAGTATTCTTTTATTTTCAAATGTTTTTTTTTGCTCTATTTGCCTTTATAATTAGCAGCACCCCAGTTAGAACTACCACAGAGGGGCTACCAGGAGATGAGTTGGACATCAGCTTGGAGCATGAGATGAAGGAGGTGGAGGAGAAGGAGGGAGAGGAGTTCAAAGTAGAAGAAAGGAAGGAAAAAGATGAGGAGGTGGAGGAAGATGATCGTGTGGAGTGGGAGCTGCGCAACACTGACTCTGTGTTCTCTGAACTGTCAGAGCTGAGTCGAGATTATGTGGAGAGTGTAGACCGAGGTGCCAGTGTCAGAGGTAAAGTCCTGTAAAGAATACACTTTTACAGACCTGTTTCACTTGAACTTTCTCTTAATTTTAACCAGAGATTTGATAAAAAGTACACAGTTCTCAGTAATTTGCCAGTTATTATTGTGTGACCCTTCATCTGGCCACAGAAACAAAACCCTCAGTAACAGTGCCTGTGTTATAATACTGTAATAAAAGACAGTGTATGATCATAGATACAGTTGTGCTCATAAGTTTACATACCCAGGCAGATTTTATATATTTTTTTGGCCATTTTGCATAGAATATGAATGAAAACACAATAACTTTTCTTTCAGTCATGGTTAGTGTTTGGCCGAAGCCGTTTATTGTCAAACAACTGTGTTTACTCTTTTTACATCATAATGACAACAGAAACTACCTAAATCACCCTGATCAAAAGTTTATATACCCCAGTTCTTAATATCGTGTATTGCCCCCTTTAACATCAATGACAGCTTGAAGTCTTTTGTGGTAGTTGTGGATGAGTCTCTTTATCTTTTCAGATGGTAAAGCTGCCAATGGGCATAGTTTCTGTTGTCTTGGCAGAAAGCCTCCAGTTCCTGTAAATTCTTGGGCTGTCTTGCATGAACTGCACGTTTGAGATCTCCCCAGAGTAGCTCAATGATATTAAGGTCAGGAGATTGAGATGGCCACTCCTGAACCTTTACTTTATTCTGCTGTAGCCAATGACAGGTTGATTTGGCCTTGTGTTTTGGATCATTGTCATGTTGGAATGTCCAGGTATGTCTCATGCACAGATTCCGGGCTGATAAGTGTAAATTTTCCTCCAGTATTTTTTGATAACATGCTGCATTCATCTTGCCATCAATTATGACCAAATTTCCTGTGCCTTTGTAGCTCACACATCCCCAAAACATCAGCGATCCACCTCCGTGTTTCACAGTAGGAATGGTACCTTTCATCATAGGCCTCGTTGACTCCTGTCCAAACGTAGCGTTTATGATTGTGGCCAAAAAGTTCTATTTTGGTCTCATCACTCCAAATGACTTTGTGCCAGAAAGTTTGAGGCTTGTTTCTGTGCTGTTTGGCATATTGTAAGCGGGATACTTTGTGGCATTTGCGTAGTAATGGCTTTCTTCTGGCAACTCGAACATGCAGCCCATCTTTCTTCCATCTTGCCATCAATTATGACCAAATTTCCTGTGCCTTTGTAGCTCACACATCCCCAAAACATCAGCGATCCACCTCCGTGTTTCACAGTAGGAATGGTACCTTTCATCATAGGCCTCGTTGACTCCTGTCCAAACGTAGCGTTTATGATTGTGGCCAAAAAGTTCTATTTTGGTCTCATCACTCCAAATGACTTTGTGCCAGAAAGTTTGAGGCTTGTCTCTGTGCTGTTTGGCATATTGTAAGCGGGATACTTTGTGGCATTTGCGTAGTAATGGCTTTCTTCTGGCAACTCGAACATGCAGCCCATCTTTCTTCAAATGCCTCCTTATTGTGCATCTTGAAACAGCCACACCACATGTTCTCAGAGAGCCCTGTATTTCACCTGAAGTTATTTGTGGGTTTTTCTTTGCATCCCGAACAATTTTCCTGGCTGTTGTGGCTGAAATTTTAGTTGGTCTACCTGACTGTTGTTTGGTTTCAACAGAACCTCTCATTTTCCACTTCTTAATTAGAGTTTGAACACTGCTGATTGGCCTTCTCAGTTCCTTGGATATCTTTTTATATCCCTTTCCTGTTTTATACAGTTCAACTACCTTTTCCCGCAGATCCTTTGACAATTCTTTTGCTTTCCCCATGACTCAGAATACAAAAACGTGAGTGCAGCACTGTATTAAAGATGCAAGGGTCTGTCAGGAGTCCTGAAACTCATTGACCTTTTATACACACACTAATTACCAGCAACCAGATCAAGGTGAAGATGGTTACCTTTAATTGCCATTCACACCTGTTTGTGTCAACTTGTGTCATGTTATCAGGCCAAAATCACCAGGGTATGTAAACTTTTGATCAGGGTGATTTGGGTAGTTTCTGTTGTCATTGTGATTTAAAAAGAGTAAACACAGTTGTTTGGCTTCAGCCAAACACTAACCATGACTGAAAGAAAAGTTATTGTGTTTTCATTCATATTCTATGCAAAATGGCCAAAAAAATATAAAATCTGCCAGGGTATGTAAACTTATGAGCACATCTGTACAAAGTAAGTGATCACAGACACGGGATGTGACAGAAGCTTGGCTTCTAAAAATATTTTGACAATGGTGTGCAACAATTTATACTTGGCTAACATGGAGTGCAGTGAAAAGGGTTCTTGCTGTAGGTTTAATATGGGTTTCTGTTCCATTTTTGCCATTTTGCCGAGTAAATGATGTTGTTTAGATATGGTCAGTGTTGCTCTCACTGTTGTAATAAGTGTCTAAGAAATCTTAATGCTTCTCTCTGTAGGCAGTGCAGACCAGTTTGAGGAGATTCTTTCTCAGTATGAGGAACTGAAAGTCACCCAGTGAGTTTTAATTTCTGACCCATGATGTAGATCTGATGCTTGAGTGCGCAGGGGATTTTCAAAACACTCGTGCTTCTTGCTTCAGTAGAAACAAATCAGGAAGATGAGAAAATATTTCAGACACTAATTTGTTGGAACTGTTTACTTTGTTTGCCTAAGTGACTGCTGATTTGTATTTTTCCCCACACTCCTAAAATGCTCATGCTTTGCTTTGTCTCCCCCACCCCGAGTGAGTTGGTAGAAGCTGCCCGCAAGGCTTTGATATCTCGAGTGGTAGAGCTGACTGATGACCGTTCAGCTCTTAAACTGGAAGTGACCTCTCTTCAGGAAACAGTCTCACGATTAGAGGGGCGGATGAAGGAGAAGGAGGAGGAAACTAAGAGGTGTAGAAGATTGTTCTAGATGTTTTCCAACTTTTTGGAAAAAGCATTGCATTTATTTTTTGTAATTATGTTCTGCTGTTGAAGTCACTATATGCTTCATTAGCAGTTTTTTTTTTTTTTTTTAAATAGGCTTCGGAAAGAACTGGAAACGTACCAATCTGAGAATCCTGATGTAAGGAGATGTTACTTTCAAGCTTTGATTTACTGTATCACAAACATGTAGTGCAGTAGTAGTATTGTATTGTTGAAGCTTTTTGTTAAATCCATTAACTGTTCTGTGTTGATTATGTGTGAAACTGGTGCACGCATGGCATTTAGAGGCATAAATCTTTCCATTCAGGCCTGTCTACCCTCGTCCATGCGCCACTTTTCTCGCTCAGAAATGGCTCGTGTGGTTATGGAGAAGAATCAATATAAACAACGCCTGTTTGAGCTGCAGGAGTCAATAAGACATAGCCAGACACTCAGGTAATTTTGCTACTAAATTAAAATAGTTGTATGTGTGTTCTTTTACTTAGCTGTTGTATTATTTAAAGTTGTCTGTTCCAAGAGGATTTTAAATTTGATCCAACACAGCTGTGTGCTTCTAATTTTATTCAGGGCTATTTTTTTCTTTTTTCAATAGAGCAACAAAGGAAGTGAAGTTATCAGAGGAGAAACGGTCAAGTGTTTGGAGAAAGTAAGTGTTTGTTTTATGGCTCATCTTCTGTCATTTTGTTCGTCCCTGGTAGGCTAGTGGTTAAGACGCAGCGCTCTAGCTGCTGCGGCCCATGTTCGAGTCAGGGTTGTGTCAGGAAGGCATCCGGCGTAAAACACGTGCCTAATGTCAACATGCAAGTCGTCAGTGTGACGATTCACTGTGGCGACCCCTAAACGGGAAAAGCCGAAAGTGACTTTCTGTCATCTTCTGTCATTTTGTTCCTCATAACACACAAAAATTGGCGGCTTTGCTCCCTAGAACAGAGATGGCCTGGTGCTGGGCCTGCTCTGTGATGGAGAATAAAGTGGGCAGTAAACCTGCACTAATGTACTGGAATACTATAATTATAGAATGAGTACCCTAAAAGAACACAAAAATGTATAAAGCATTATGCCGTATAAAAATACAAAGAGAACATTTGAATTTTGGCGGCATGAGAGAGGTTCATCTTTGCTGTATGCAGACAAAACAAAGACTGAAATAAACAAGTGTGGTAAGTAAGTGCAAGTTTAGTAATATTCTGTACTCGGATGATTTACTATGTATGTAAAATAATATAAATTGTTTTTGTATTAAAGGTTCAACCGCTTTTTTGGTTTGTCCAAAGAGCCCTTAATCCCAACTCCTGCTTTTGCATTCCACGTGCCAGCTCCTCCAGCACTTACTGACACTCCTCTGGGGTCTTCACAACTGCCAGCTGTCAGCCAGACTCCAAATGAGTAAGCAAATTTTTCTGGCCATTTACATCATTATTTGCAACAAATAATTACACATTTTCTGTTTAAGCTGATACAAACCAGGAGCATTTTCTCTAGGTCTGCTTCTCCTGCCACTCTCACACCACGTGCCAGGAGGAGAGAACTCTACAGAGAAATCCGATCCCACATTTGGGGAACTCTGGGAAAACGGCAAATACAAGGGTGGAGTATGCCACTGGGAAATGCACAGGTAGTAGAACCACATTCAGAATACAAATAAAGGGGGAACTGTTGGGTATTAAAAAGAGTACATGAAAATGGAAATAAGAGCTTCCCCTGGCTGTGATGTGAGACTGCATTATGCGTTTTTTGTTATTACACACTTTTTTTTTTTTTTTTTTTTAATTAAATGAAGAACAAAAAAA